CGATCATTCAATCATTGTGGGGCCACAGGTTTTTAATTAATCGTTTGATTGTAAATTTCGAGAAATAATTTATTTCAGAATGGAATTGAAAGAAAAAGATGTAACGGGATCTGAATGATTAAATTTTATTTCGACCTAACCGAGTGCGCATTTAGTGTTGACATTCCATATGTTTAAGCCTTTGTTAACTTTCTCCTAATTCCGATGTAGCTGTCCTGTTTAGACTGTGCTTATAAAATTACAATGCTAGTAGTTTGTTTTAAACCAGCTTCCGAAACCATATCGGATTTCTTCTGTACAGTCCAATAAATTTCAAATACTGTTTACACTTGAAACATAGTGAATTTTGTTCGGCCAAATAGCCAATTTCAACAACTCTTCTTTTTTCATTCCATGCCAATAAACCAGTTTCTGTCTGAGTTTGTACGTCTGCTTGCATGGTTTTTTCCCGCTAAATGCTATCGGTATTCTTTTCCAAATAAATTCCCTTTTTCTATTTTGCCTATGACGTTTTTCGGTGACCATTTAAAAAACGAATGGGCTTCATAGCGGAATTGCATTAATTGTGGTACAATTCCCCGTATTTTCATACATTATCATGCGTTTCTATAATTTGGATTTCTACTTTCAACCCAGAATAAAAAGCTCAGTTTGTTATGCATAAGAACATATATAGATTAATCGTACACATGCTTACTTATCAATAGAAACAGAACATATACAAAGTATATATTTAAATGTGAAGAATGAGAAGAAGAATGGGAGGAAGACGCCGAAACAATCAATTTCAAATAACGTATTGCATCAAATCCCTCGACATTCTGCATCTATGCAAAGTTACTATTAAAAATGTTAATAAAAATAAAAGGTTAATTTACTATTTATATTTCACCTAAGTGTGATTTTCTTTTTCTCATTTTTGTTCTTTTATTTGAATCGTAATTATGCAAAGGTTTTTGTTTTGTGATTGAATATGATACGTATAGAAAGCGGCGTTAAAATGAAGGTTTTTTTAATATACAGTCATATATATTTGCAAATTTGAAATAAAGAAACATTTATCTTTCAACTACTTTATACCAGACTGAGGCAAATTGTTTGTTTAATTCGTTCTAAGTTATTATAAAACATCAGGCTTTACGTTTGCCGTCAATATTTTCAAAGATGTCGACAACAGCAGGAACGATAACTCGTGGCGTAACGTCATTCGGTATCGTGTAACCTTAACAGTAAAGACATATCGAAAAAAATTGTTTGGTACCACTGACTTGTATTTTGGTCGTTTTTTCAAAAAAAAATAAACAGATGTTTTCATTTTCAAGCACTGGGTAGATTCAAATGCTGGTAGACTGGTAGGTCCCGAGATGTTTATTACCAAATCAGTAGTCCTTTCTTCAGAAGACAGTTTTGATAACACACGTTTCTTGAATTGGCCGTTGAGGAATTTAGAAATTATTTTGAAAAAATATTAAGAAACTAAAGTTAAACCTCTCTCATGCAAAGTTGACGTTATATAGATGTTCTATCACCCTCAGTCAAATTTGACATTCAATGGGTTTAGCTTTACTTTTAGGTCTCATCGTACGCTTCTCATGTAATTTATACATTATTGGCTTTTTGCGCGTTCCTGATGGAGGTGATGAAGGTAAAAAAGTCGAAGAGAAACTGACAACACCTTAGTAAATACGAAAGACGACGAAAAGGATAACAAAGACGCTGGTCAATACGTCTGTATAAACAAATGTATCAGTTGCTTCTGTAACAGTATAGGAGTGACTGTTCTATTAACATTTAACATTAATACTTTATACTACGAAACACAAATCTACAATATGGTAGATAGGCATGTACAGAACCCATTAGCAATAATGATCAGCAATAAAACATGTGATAAATATTTTTTATCAGTTCCTTTTTCAAGTTAATGCCTATTTTGCGTTTTATCAAATATGTTCAAAATTAAGATAGTTATAGATAGAAACTAAATGAGAATAAGCAAAACAGGTCTATATTTTATAATTCGCTGGGATGTCAGTTGGCTCCATGAGAGCGTTGGTACTGACATGATTTATGACATACTGTTTTTAAATTATCTGTTTATAAAGTCAGAAAGTATCAAGAAACTACGGTAACAACACCCTCAGGCAAAGTTGAACAAAGATGGATTTAACTACTATTTTTGCCCCCTTTTTGTTATATATTTCTCCACGTGTTTTAGCACTTATACATTCTAGGCTTTCTAATGTTTAGTGTTGAGCGTTCCTTGTAAATAAATCCAGAAGACTCAAACAAATTGATAAAGTTTTTTTTTCTTTTTTTTTTATGGCACTAGATAGATACTGCTGCTGGTGGACTATTGGTCCTCCTCGGTACTGACTTGATGTATAAAATACCTTTCTTAAATTTTCATTTTTTTTTTCAGTTTGAAATTTATATAGAAACTAAGGTGCAAACTCCCTCAGGCAAAGTTGACTTTAGATGAACTTGGCTATTTTTAGTCTCCTTTTTGGTGTTATAGATATCCACGTGTTTCGGTATTTATACATCAACGACTTTAAAATGTTTGGGTTTGAACCTGAATAAGGAAAATCCAGAAAAGCACTTCGGATTCATAAAATTTATGAAGAGTTATTTTCATTTTTTTACGAGTTATAAGCCCGAATTTGAAGAATTAAACATTGAAGTATATGATATATATTAGACCGTATATAAGTACATTAATGATACACAATTTATTGCACCTGGCAGATGCACATTTCGACAATTCATATCTCTTTAGTGAGGTTTGAGTCCAAAATAAATTTGGTTCTAGATATGTAAAGTGTCTTCTTTTTCAAAACGTCATATAACCAGTGTTAACATAAGACAAAAGTGTAATCACCAGCCCAGTAGTCAGCACTTCTGTGTTGACATGCATTATCATTGATATGGTCATTATTATAAATTAACTGTTGACAAAACTTTGAATTCTTTTTAGACTAAGAAATGTCTACCCCAGATATCTTAGCTGTATTTGGCACAACGATTTGGAATTTGGGTCCCAATGCTCTACGAACTTTTTTTTGTTTAAATCTTTTCTTTTATTTTTATAATTTGTAAATGAAACGCAATCTGGCGTACAAAATGTTAAGCCTAGTGTCTATTATGAGATTATTCATTACCTGTTGCCATATATTCATTCATTGACAATTATAAATATCAAAATTATTATAATCTGTATTTTCTGACCATTAGTTTTTGAAAATTAATTCATGTAGACATAATCATACACTTTTCTTATATCAGTATACACGAACGTAATAGCGTCTAGCTGATATCTTATGAAATATTTATCTTTTAATTTCAGAGAGCAATACATCATTGCAGGAAAGAAGTGATATGACGACAATTATCCCAGAACATGCTTCAAAAAAAAGTCTGAAGAAAGCTAAACAAGAATTTGATTTAAAAGAAAAAATCCAGACAAATGTTCAGGACATAATTCTTTACGTGTTTTTCACATTTATGTTGTTATTTGTTGTACACAACCATCGACCCGTGGAGAAATGTTTCATGCAGTCACAAGATATCAATAATATCTTTATCAAAAAGAAATTAGAAACTGTAAGTAAGACAAACCGAGAAGGAAGAACCAATAAGCAATCATAAACCATAAGTCAAAGTAGACACATCAGCGCTGTACCGATGTTTCCAACAAAAAAATAAACAGAACAGTTAGGGAATAGACTATTTTCATATTACCAACTTTTGACTCCGGATTATATAATTTTTCGACAGGTAACTTTTTCTGTGTTAGGACATCCTGGTACAATTCAAGTGAGAGCAAGGAAAAAAAGTAAAATCAAGCATTCAATCGGTACAATTTTTGGGGAAAATTTACTGCTTTACATTTTCTTTGCACGACAAAATCATCGGAAAACAGTACTTTCCTCCTAAAATTACACCGATTATATGTTTGATTTTACTTATTTTGGTTGCTCTTACTTGACCTAGTACCAGGATGTTCTACCACAGAAAAGGTAACCTATCGAAAAATAATATAATCTGGAGTCAAAAGTCGGTAATATGAAAATAGTCTTTTGCATGCCCTCCATCAGGATCGAAACAGGGTGTGTCGACAGCTAAGTATCTCCTGCAATTCAATCCACATTTCACAATAGGGAATAAGGCACAATCAGTAAAATTACAGATCAGACTTTACTGGGATCTAAGTAGCTAAGACGCGAAAAACATATCACTATGAGGTGAGACACCGATACATAGTATAGGTTCAATAATTTGAGAAGATGACTGTTAAACTCAAGTAGTGTCGATTTCAGTCATTCTTCCTCATAACGATGTTTGAGTCATTTTTGTGTTTGAAGTCCGTAAAGTGTGAACATGCACGAGCTTATCGTATTAATTGAGATATATAAACGCCATCTGATGGAGCAGGGGGAATTCAACTGCTGAGAAAAAGGAAAGTTGATGTTGGAAAGTTGAAATCATCACATATGTTATAGATTCTAGTTTTTAATTCGTCCACCTGTGCCAAATTCGAGGAACCATATAGCTATAAAGCAAACCTCTCACATTCAGTAGTATCCTTTATTTCAATATCAAAATAGGAAAAGTGGTATGATTGCCGATGAGACAACTCTCCACCAAAGACCAAATGACGTAGAAGTTAACAAGTTCTCTGCGATAAATGAGATGAAAGCACTCATTGAAAATGCGGGTTATTGAGTGATAGGAGATTATCAATATATGAATACAAAAACAAGTCAGCCGTTATTAGTGCACACAATTAGTACCATTTGGATACCGACTGTCTGCTGAAATATTGATACGCACAAACATGGTATCGATCAAAACGTCCAGCAGCGTGCTCATATCATCTTCGGTGCTTTTGCTGGAATCCAGTGTGGTTGTTTACAAAGTGAGACTTTTCATGACCTCAAACATAGAATTTGTATCTACTTTTCCCTTTTTTATATGAATAGCACTGTTTATAAAAACGATGATATTAGGAATTTAAGAGATTGTTGTGGATTTTTGTACGGCACCTCGTACAAAGTCTCTAGGCACTTCACATCTAGTTTATGTTTAGGATTATTAATTTCGGTAACTCGTTCTCCTGTACTTAGAAAATAAAGGACGAAATTTAAACAAAAAGACATGTGGGACAGCAGATTAATATCAAAACAAAACAAAACATATTTATTGAAATGATAATTATTGTCTTTATGCTTATATTCACACAAAAACTAAACTTAAAAGTACCGTGTTGAGCATTTTATATCTTAATATGATTTTGTAGGTTAAGACACGCGGTGATGTCTGGACTTATATCAATGAAAGTGTGATTCCGCCATTGAAGAGAACAATACCATATGAAATGTCAAGAAAGATTCCAGAAAATGATTTTCTTCTAATAGGAAAATTTCGTCTGCGACAGATAAGGGTTCAAAGAGGTAAACAATAAATAAACAACGAGGTCAGTGACGATATATATTTGATGCACATTCAAAATGTTGCTTTATAATTTTCACGAATTTCTAGTCACTATTCTAATTTACTATCTTTAAAACGTCCCCGAGGATTTCGCTTGTTTTTTTTTGTTTTTTGTTTTTTGACATTTTGTAACTCTGTAGTCTTCTAACATGGTGAATGAAGCAAGCATTGCAGGAGACTCTAAACCTATTAAGAAAAAAAGTTTTGTGTAGGAATCGCTTATAGTTCTCAATAGTTTTTTTAAAAATCGAATACACTTCCTGTAAAAAAATTTTGAAATTATCTTGTCTGAAAATTTTTTTATGCAGTTAAACATTTATTTCTGCCAAAACAATTCACATAAATAATACAGTGACATCTATTTCTGACAATACATTTCACATAGATAGTCCATTGACATCTATTTCTGCGAAAACATTACACATAAATAATCCAGTGACATCTATTTTTACCAAAATATTCCACATAAATAATCCAGTGACATCTATTTCTGTCAATACATTTCACATAAATAATCCAGTGACATCTATTTCTGTCGATACATTTCACATAAATATTCCGATGACATCTATTTCTGTCAAAAATAGCATTTTGCTTAAATATTTGTATCTCAAAACAAACACATGGGCTTGTCTTTTTTTCATAATTTTTATGTACTCTTAGATCTGTACTTTGTGTCTTTCGTCTTTTTTTGTTGTTGTGCTTTTTGTTGATCTGACAAGTTAAACTCTTTTTAACTTATTAGCATTTTGTTCTTTTGTTGAGCTGTTATACCGCTGTCCCATATAAGGGGAGGGTTGAGCTCTCCAAACATGTTAAACCCCGCCACACTAATCAGATGCCTATCCCAGGCTTGTATTTTAGTGGTTGCTGTTAATCATATTTTTTTACCAGCTCAGTACAACTTTTTTATTGAAAGACTGTTATTTTTATGATGACAATTGTGTTATAACACCTTTGGTATATCATTATGGTGTATTAAAAGTCTCCCGTGTTCCTCCTTGATAAGTAATCCGGGTTTGGTGTAATTCAGATTCGTATGAAATGATACGATCTATCTCATGTATCTGTAAATTTCAAGTTGTTAGGCGCTATTCTTTTTTTTATTTTTTCAAACTTTTTATACTTTTGACTCTCCAGACTTTTCGTATCGAGCTTGTCTTCGGAGGATTGTTCAGGAAACTCATGTTGTCTGCACGATAATAATATATATTTGTACCGCTTTAAGCCACTGAGTTCTTTCCAGCCAGTAGCCAGTGCTTCGAAAATGACATTATTCAAATAACATTGTGTCACTAATTATCAAGTTCTCAACAATTTGTCACTGTGCTAAAGTTTAATGTTGCAACTCTCCCATGCTACGTTTTTAATATTTCTTACGTATACGTTTATATTTACTAAACATGAGATCTCTAATGCGCCTAATGAGGGTGTATATACGTTTTATTTTCCTAACATGAGATCTGTAACGTGTCTGGTAAGGGTTTATACGTTTGTATTTTGATATCTCTTACGTGCCCTAAACGTGCCTGGTGGGCGTGCATACGTTGATTCTTTACGGACATGGGATCTCTAACGTGCCTGATGAGGATGTGTATGTTTATTCTTTCCGGTTATGGGATCTCTAACGTGCCTGATGAAGGTGTATATGTTTTAAATTTAGACATGGGATATCTAACGTTACTGATGAGGGTGTATACGTTTATAATTTACAAAGATGGGATCAATAACGTCAAATGCTTTTTTTTATCATGGTTATTATTGTCTTAATATGTACATAACAAACATTCGTATTCAATAAAGCGCAAAATTGTTCGAGCATCTTAGTGAAAAGTAATAAAATCTTAGCCATGGGATGGAGTAAAATATTTCCCTCGTGTTAACCAATCTAAATCTGGCATTTCAACATAAAGTGTAATAATACGTTAAGTAAAAGTAAAATGAAATCATAACTGCATCCGGTACTTTCATACTGTTTTTATGCAAACTCACATTTTTGGCAGTATGAAATCAAATCCATCAGTGAATCATTTATCAAAGGATACTATATCGTATAAAAATATAGGGGTCTATGTCCTTTTTTTTTAAGAAAAGATAAGTTTTAATAATAATAATTTTTGGAGGAAGAATATGTCTCTGGATTGTTCTTATGATATGAATGCAAATGAGTGCTTTATTGTATTCATAATAAATCATCAAACATGATGTACGGATGTTGTTGGATAATCAAGATTCTTCACTTTGGCATAAAGTTCTAAAAACTATTTTTAGGAAAGCGTACATTTGCTTAATTGTCATTTCCACTGCTGTCAATAGACAAGAGTATGCTTATATCGATAGGCGGATATTTGCATATTGTTGTAAGCATCCTCAAAGCGCTTTGTGAATGAATTGATACAATTCTCTGAATTCAAAAGTTCAACATTGTCGTCAGCTTAGAATAAAAATTTCTTATGAATATGAATAAATGGAGATGTTGGTATCAGTTTTATATTGGTTTGGTTAAAATTTACTCTCAGTGCAATAATAGGAATACAGATGTGTGTTTATCAATGACTGTTCGAAATAGTATCCTCGGTTAATGCTATTGTGTAATTCCCTACGGAATGTGGTGAATAAGGTGCTCAGGAAGGATTACGGTTCCTTCTTCAGTAGTGGCACCCGCCTTGTTACCCATTGCAAGTCAAAGTTGAGGATTTCCGTTTATATTGAAAACTACAATACATTTAAATTGTAATAACAATTGAACTAATATATATATACAATGTATATATGTACGATGACTTCTGCATTTTAGCTTAGTTTTATAGTAAGCGCTTATGTATTCGAAGTTCTCATAGAAATTTATCATTTGATCAAGTGCTTATACATGTTATACAACAGATTAAAATCAACATTACATAGTTGCTAGTTTTTTAGGGACTTGTCTGATTTAAATGATACCTGTCAATATTCTTTTTTTTAAATTAAAATGTTCTTTACAAGTTAAGGGTTGCACCACCCTCAACCAAACCTGAATTTCGATGATTGTTCCTGTTCTGTTTTCACTATTTTCAATTTTATGTTTCTATTTTAAGATATCACAGGTTTTCATGAACATATTTATTTTTTTCAGACAGCTGTAACTTTCCAGATAAGTTGAAGGAACTATTTGGCTTTGACCATCTTGGCATGGAATGTACGTCTTCATTGAACTCAATGAATGATGACAATGACCATTACAACAAGTCCTGGCAGATTCAGTCAACACTGGTCTCATCCACTGATGAATGGTCCTACCAAAATGCTTGGGACTTAGAGTCCGTACCATATCTAGGCGAGCGGGCAATATATGGTGGGGGTGGCTATTTGGTTGACATGAACGCAGGTCCTTCAGCTATTTCAAAGATTTCAGAGTTAATGCTTAAGTCATGGATTGACACAAGAACAAGAGCTTTTTTCGTAGAATTTGTATTGTATAATCCTAATGTTAACATGTATAGTTCAGTAATGATCGTTTTTGAGTATAGCAGCCCGGGTACACTAACAAAATCATTTCAGATATATACAACACCTTTATCACACTACTCCACTAGTAAAGAAATTATGAGTTTGGTGTTTGAGATTGTATTTTTTCTGTTGACGATTTTCCTGTCTTATATTGAGATCAAAAAGATAAGACTAGTCAGTTTGAAAACATACTTTAAAATGTTTTGGAACAAGCTTTCCATGTTCATGTTAATATTGTGCTATACTTCAATGGCGATTTTTATAGAGAGATTCAGAGTGATAACACAAATACTCCGGCAGTACAGAAGTCATGGAAGAGACAGTTACATTAATTTTAGTCTTGCAATCCTATGGGATTGCATATTATTTTACATTTTGGCTTTGTTAACCGTAATTACAATGATAAAACTACTGAAACTTTTAATGCTGAATCAGAAATTGAAATATTTATTTTCAATGATGGAATATGTGAACACACCCTTAAAATATTTCGCTTTTATTTACATTATTTCTTTGTTAGCGTTTGCATGTTGTGGACATTTGTTGTTTGGCGCTTCATTAGCTGGTTACAAATCATTCGGAGACAGTTTTATGGTCCTTATAGAATGTACATTCAGGATAGTCAATTTTAATCAATACCTTGAATTTCATCCTGACTTAGGTCCTGTTTTTATACTTTTGTTCATATTTATATTTGTATTTGGTTTAATGAATATGTTTACTGTCATTGTAATGAATGCGCAGAAATCCTTAAGACAAAATGGAGTAAGACAGGATGACCAGTTAGGGTTAATGATAAAGTACTTAGTGGGTAACATCAGAAGAATGTTTCGATAATACAATAAATTAGTTAGTTTGCAAGCCTGAGTTTTCATAAATCGCAATTCCAATAGCAGCATTTCTGTGCTGACATGAAAAATCAATGGCACGGTGATTTTCTTTCAGTTGATGTTCATCAAGTATTACTACCCCCAGGCATAGATGGCCTTAGCAAAATATTACATCAATTTGGCTAATTTGCTTGAATTTTTTGGTTTGCAATGCTCTTAAACTTTATATTTTTTTGACTTTCCGACTATTTAGTTCCGAGCCTCACATAAGAGTCTTATGTAGACGAAACACGCATCTACTATAGTAAATCATAAACCTGATGCATTTGATGAGTTCTTAAAGCGGGAATTAGAAAAAGATCTTACAAAGCCTCAAAAAACATCTTTTAAGGAAACAGGTACGTAAATGGCCTATCTCACGGATGTTTGTGTAATTTTGAATACAACTAGAGTATGTTGAACTGCAAATCAATATCGAAAAAATGACATGTGTAACTTTTATATTTTGAAAGATAACGAAATTAGTATATCCGGAAAAGAGAAGTGCAATCATTTTTTGTTTACTTTCTAAAATATGATTTTTCGAATTCCTGTCCGACGAATTTACTTAAAATTATACCAAAATAGAAAAATAAAGGATATGGGGTATCCATCATTGAATGTATGTTATCGATGATGAAATTTCTAATTAATTTATATAAAATGTACATTTGTTCATTAAACTAGTTACCGAAGTATAAATAGTTGAATCCCAAGCACGGTGTAAAAAAATCTGAAAAGACAAGTATAAGTGTGAAGTTGTGAGGGCATTGGTTTTATAGATAAAAGATACACTTGAATGATTTACACAACAAAAACAAATTCAATGACATATCTATGTTGTATAAGAAAAATGAAATTTTGGTTACAGTAACTTACAATTTTTAACGAAAACTCGTAGGACAGCAAATTTAAAGTCAATTTGTCAAATAAATTATTGAATATCTTTTGCCATATTTACGTGCATGCTATACATTTATACTTATTTCTAGGGAATATTCAATTTACTTTTGCTTCGATCGTATATAAGTTACTGATATTCCTTTTCATATTCCTATTCTGTTCCTCGTGTTCTATTCTGAAACAATGTCATACAAATCCATGAGATCGCCAATTTGCTTTCCTGTTACCTTAAACATAAACCTGCACAACACTTTCTGAGTTCATTTCAACAATTAATTTTTTTTTGTTTTTTTTTCGGCAGATTATGATAATGTTGAAACGATTACAAGAGTAATTAATGTGCTCTGGAGGGTAACAAGCCTTGATTCACAGCAATTTCTGATCACAGATCTTACCAAAACTGCTATCAGGAATCAATATGCTAATCAGGATAGAATAATTTAGTTAAAGACTTATTAAGAATAAAATCAGGTGCTCTGGATAAATGTATGTTTCCTTGTAAAAAAAATAAAAGAAATACACATATAAGTTGAAATCAAATTTTGATACAGTTTCGATATTTGATAGAAAACGTAGATGGATTTTAGAGATATTGACCAATCCACCTTTTCATAATTATTCCTTATCACCGGATATGACATCAACAGATAAAAACAGCAACTAGTAGACAATTGTCACCAAAGGAGTATAGGCGGTTAACACGTCGGGAGCACATGAGTTAACCGCTGCTGTTTTAGTGGAGTTTCTGGTTTTTCAGTCCTTGACATTTCTTCGTTTGTGGACTCTTATTTGTCTGCTTGTCTTTATTATTTTTGTCATGATGGCGCCTGTCTTTCGTCGACTATTGGTATAAGTTAGGGTCTGGAAGAGGTTTACAGAATAGAGAATAGTAGGCAAATGTGCAGAATAAAGGGCCAAAAAAATGAAGAATAGAGAATAGTAGGCAAATGTGCAGAATGAATGGCCAAAAAATGAAGAATAGAGATTAATAGGCAAATGTGTAGAATAAAGGGCCCAAAAATGAAGAATAGAGATTAATAGGCAAATGTGTAGAATAAAGGGCCCAAAAATGAAGAATAGAGAATAGTAGGCAAATGTGCAGTATAAAGGGCCCAAAAATGAAGAATAGAGAAAAATAGGCAAATGTGTAGAATAAAGGGCCAAAAAATGAAGAATAGAGATTAATAGGCAAATGTGTAGAATAAAGGGCCCAAAAATGAAGAATAGAGAATAGTAGGCAAATGTGCAGTATAAAGGGCCCAAAAATGAAGAATAGAGAAAAATAGGGGGGAAAAAATGAAGAACAGAGAATAATAGAGTGCTAAAATATAAAGGATAGAGAACATTGGTAAAAAAAGAAAAAGAATAAAGAAAATTGGTCTAAAAAAATAAAGAATAAAGAATAATGAAGAACCCCCATCCAGACCCTCATAAATAATATCCGTCTGATAACATATATACTAGTTATCCAAATTTATTCGTTAAGGTATCGAATCTGTTTGGCTTGTTTGACTTCATTACTTTGATTTAGATTTCACAGTTGTAATGATGTGCAATCATTCCATCCAATTGTGTAATGGTTTCATATATATCAGCTTATTAACAATTCGAAACCCGACTACAACATGTACAACGTTTTAGTCTTTCTTTCCAGCATTAATAGTATGTACAACAAGAATTTGTGTCCATAGGACACCCTTTAGAAAATAAGAAGATGTGGTATGATTGCCAATAAGACAACTCTCCACCAGAGACCAATGGACGTAGAAGTTAATAACTATTAGTCACCGTGCAGCCTTCAACAAGGAGCCAATCCAATATCGCATGGTACCTACATGTATAAAAGGTCCCGGAATGACAAAAGTAAAAGGATTCAAACGAGAAAAAGAACGGTCTGATTACACTATCCGTTGTCCTATTCAATGAACCGTGAAATTGGGGTCAAGTCCTAATTTTGTTCAAAAATGGCAGTGAATAAGGTTGTTTTATGATTTTGATTTTTTGGTGTTTTAACGCCGCTTTTAAGCACCGCTTTTGGGCTATTTCGTGGCGGCCAGTTTTTATTGGTGGAGGAAGCCGGAGTGCCCGGAGAAAACCACCGACCTTCGATAGGAAAACTGACAATCCTAGTCAATTAAAATTGGAGTCGAGTGCACCAGCACGAGCGGGGTTCGAACTCACAACCTCAGTGTTGACTAACTAGTAACTATTTAGACCACTCGGCCACCGAGGCCTCATTGTTTTATGAAGGATACTCCGAAACGATCAATTAAATCTTAATCACAGAGTAAGAGAGAGGCAAAAGATACCAAAGGGATACTTTGGATTAATTATTATTCGTTGGATACCAATTTTCGTGGGTTTCGTAGGTACACGTAAACCACGAATTCAAATCTTCAACGAATTACAAATTTTTCATAGGTTTTGTATGCAGAGATTGGTAAAACCACTAAATTAGATATCAACGAAATTGCAAGTTTCCTCAATCCACGAAAATTGAAACCAACGAAAATAAATGTATCCACAGTATTCAAAATTATAAGTCGAAAACAACTGACAATACCATGGCAAAAAAATACCACAAAAAACGATCAAAAATCAAACGGTATACAACACACAACATAAAAAGATGTAGACAGTGCTAAACAAACCCCATAAAAAACTGGGGCAATCTTGGGTACTTTGGAAGGGTTTACAGGTCCTGCTCCACATGTGGTACCCTTCGTGTTGCTCGTGTAAGTACAAACCTGGTAAAGTCTAATTCGTCGGGTCACATTCAAGGAAAAGAGGAGGGGATTGTGGTTACGACAATTGAAACATATCTGTCGTCATCTGTAAGTTCATTCTCATATCTGTGTTTTAATTGTTTTAATTATCTATGGTCGGGTTGTTGTCTCTTTGACACATTCCCCATTTCCATTCTCAATTTTATTTAATTGTCTGCAAAAAGCAATATTAGTGAGTTTAGCTTAAAAAAAGTATCTATTCTATTTTAAAGTTTATTTGAATTTGAAGTAACTGGTGTGTTTTTGTCAAACATGACTAACATGAATTTAAATACAATGTATCTCTAAAGTACGTCATTTATGCATATTTTATTCGGAAGATGCTTGTACCAAGTCAGGAATATGACAGTTGTTTTCCAGTTGGTTGATTAATTCGAACATTTGGTTTTGTCAGTTTTTAAAATACTTATTTTTTTTTTTAAATACGGTGAATTTACAATGTAGTTATAGATATAAAGTAAATGGAAATAACCCTAAGTTTTTACAAGCTCTGTAATGTATTTACAATTCATCAGGTACGCTTGAAAAGTAAATTGGACACACGAAACGAATTAAGTGGTATTCTAATTAACTAGTAATGGGTTAAAACCACTGATGTTGGACATCATCAAAAAGTAAAATAACAAAAATACCGAGCTCCAAGGAAAATTAAAAACTGAAAGTTCTTTATCATGCTTATCAAATGGCAAAATCAAAAGCTCAAACACATTAAACGAATGGAAAACTATTCCGAAATTGGTACAGACATTTCCTTATGTAGAAAATGCATCATGCAACTCCGTATGTGGTCATTGCCTTGGTATTGACAGGATTTATAACAAGCTTTTCGTAAATTTTCCGTTGATAGATTAAGAGATTATCAAGAAACGAAGGTTCAAACTCCCTCTGGCAAAGTTGACCTGAAATGAATGTGGCTATTAAGTTTCTTTTACATATTTTAGTAATTTGGTATTCACGTGTTTTGGTGTTATGGATCAATTGCTTTTTTTTAATTTTTTTGTTGGGGGGTTTCAGCATTCTTGAAAAAGTTAAATCAAGAAATCAGCTTCGGACGCACGTAATTAATCAAGTAATATTTTCATTTACTAACCCTGGGTCGATACCACTGCCTGCGTCATCCGAGGTATAATCAACTCAAAAGTCAGTTATTCGATACTGACATGATTTATAACAATTTTTTTTGTAAATTCTCTGTTGATAAATTTAGAATGTATTAAGGAACTAAGGTTCAAACTCCCCCAGGTTAACTTTTTTTTCATATTGCTCTTCGTGTGTTTTG